TGAACGCCCACTATCTATCGCGGCATAACGATATGCTACTTATGTAAGTCAGAAATATTCTCGAATCACTTAAATACGACACCGGCCGCACCCCATTAGTAATACCTTAAATACACTTTTAATCTTACATAAAGTGCGTTAAAGTAAAACTTGTCTTTCTCATTACTAAGTTGCGTTAACACACAGGTACATATATGTACATGCATTAGACTGGTTCAAAAAAAATCGACTATTTTTTTTTTTCAAAATCCCTTGTAATATTATTCGAAAATGTCTTGCCGCTCTCCACGCCGCGTCACTACTATGTTCTTTGCCTTAAATTTCCTTCAAAAATGTATATCGCTCATTCCGATACGTTTACTTATAAAATTTTAAAATTATAAAATTTCAAAATGGAAACAAAATTTTCCTGTGTTATATATTTAGAAAAAAGAAATTTGCGATGAGCCACCTCTAAATCTTGATTCTTTTTTTCACTGTCCCGAAAATATTTCACAAGGAATTTTTTGAACCAGTCTAATGTGCATACACTTGCACAAGTAAAATAAATATTGAAAGCATTGACTAACATTGAACATTGTACACAAGAACTGGACATAAAAATCACAAGATAAGATTAGCATTTACTCAACGGATTGTATTAATGGGGGAATTGGCACACATTTCCAGTATTTTTAGTCATTATGTCATTTTAAAATTTTGTTCCCCCTTTGTGCTAAAATATTTTTAATTGGGTAGATATTTCATGATTTAAACAAAAGTTTGTTTATACGAGAACTATTTTAATTCGCCAAAAGATCTCAGAAATATTTTATACATTTTTGACAAATCTTCTCTCTGACACTATTAATGTGCCGTTATTATGTTGATACATATGTACATACTACATATGTATAAATGTCATGTAGCTATCCAATATTTAACCGAAACAATTCTATGGATTTATTTACCCGCGTGCACATATACCAAATAGGCCACAGCCACCAAAACCAACATGTAATACTTCATTGTATTCTATTGAATTTATAATTTCACTTTTTTCCAATTTTAATTAAAATAAATATTCCGCCAAGTGCTTCTTTACTCGTTAAATGTATGTTGTTAACTGGAACTCGGCAAATGAAATAGTTATCAACACCTGTCGACTGTACATAAACAGTTTATCAGCGTCGTGTTTGGAGATAACTCACCAACTACATGCATATAAGGAAGCCTATGTATGTATGTATATACACACATTTACATACATACATGTAGCATTAATGCAGTATTTGTATTTTTTATTGTAACATTTCGTATTTTATTTATATACGTACATACATACTATGTAGTATTTAAACAGTCCCATTTTCTCATAATTATTGTTAATACATATATATGTAGATAACGATAACAGAACTGAAGCAGGTACATATCAATAATACAAATATAAGTACTTTCTGATATTTTTCCCATACATATTCTCTTGAAGGTCCCAACTTTCGTGAGAGATCGCTTATTGTATTTTTTTCTAGCGTTCATAGCTCGCGCTAAAGGGTTATGCCGTGGATATTTTAAAGCTTTGACATTTCCCAATATTACTTAATTATTCTAATAAAATGTTGAAACTTCTGTAGCTGCATTTTCGCACATTCATTAGTGATGAGGCCCATTTCACGCTCGACGTCTATGTTAGTGACCGCCGAGAGACGTTGAAACTGTTTGGTGGTCATTGTGGGCCGGCAGCTTCATCGCCCCTGCACCCCATCAAGTAAAACCAAAGCCAAAACTATAGCTTCTAATTCGCGAGAAATCTCCAGTACAGGTAATTTCGAATGCTGTGGTTTAGCCACCAAGATCCTGCATCTTAACGCCATTGAAAAGGCCTAGTTTATTCAAGCATTCTTAGCCGATTTTCTAAATAAATAAAATAAAATAATCTGAAGTCTTTTTTTTGTGTTCTAATCTAATAAAAATGTGTAACGTAAACGTCCATCTTATTTTTCTATTTTTTAAGCTCAGACCTGTTTTGTTTATGTATGTACTAGCAAATGCCCCGCCTTCAAAATATTTTTGTTTTGTTACTCCCTCTCACAACTAGTGAAAATATTAGTTAACTAGTAAGCCCGTATGGCGTTAAAACGCCAAGATTGAATTTAACTTTTTAAAAAGGTAAAACCGTATTTAAAAACCTCAAAAAATATTCCTTATGATTCATCTAAACCATTTCAGAGTGATAGACATCTCACATGGCGTTGGTTTTCATATCATCAAATTTCAAATCTCCAGTACCGCTAAAAAAGTTCTAACTACCAAAAATAAAGCCTTACTGCACGTCTATGTAGGATTCCAGTTTTTTAATGTGACTTCTCTTTTTGACCTTAAAAAAAAATAGATGACAACCGTAATTAAAAATATTATCAGCCTAAAAATTTCTTAAAACTATTTCGTTTGACACTAATATTTCGATATTTCATTTATGTAGGTTGTGTATACGTTAAACAAATTCGACTTTTCAAACAGGTGGCGACTTTTCAAAAGCATTTTCAAGTTAAAATCTTTTTATCGTCAGGAATTGTTATACATACATATTTCAATTAACTGATGAATTGAGTTGAATTTGATTTTTTAAGCACATGACAACTCTCCTAAATACAGTTCAGAAATAAATTATTTTCAGACCCATTTCGATTGATATCCATCTTTTGAAAATCCATTTAACTTATTAAATAGTTTGTATTGTATTTTTTCAACAGGTGGCAGCCCTCTTATTACGCCCTTAAAAATTCGAAAGGCTCAATTTAAAGATTCCTTAACACTCTTTCGTTTGATACCCATATTTTAAAATTTCATGTAACTTATGCATAATTAAACTAAATACGACCTTCAAAAGAGGTGGCAACCCTCTTAAAATACAGTTCTGAAATAAAGGATTTTAAAGCCATTTCCATTGATAAACATCCTTTAGTAATTTATTTATTTTATTAGATAATTTTAGTTTAACCTTCCTTTACCTACCTTCTTTAACCTCTTTTGTCTGACACCCATATGCTGATATCTTATTCACTTACTAAATTCCTTTAATTAATGAATTGCATTTTCTAAACCTGGGGCAACCCTCCTACAGGTAGTTAAGATATAAGGCCTTTTCAAAACCATATGGGTTTATACCCATATTGTAACAATTGGTTTAACTTTTTATATAATTTGAACTTAATTTCTTAACAGGTGGCAATTCTGCGAAAAAGTAAAACCTTAAAGAACATCCACACCCTAAGCCCTTTAATTTGACACCTCACTTTCGAAAATCGAACAAATGGTGCGGATCTGAGGGCATTGATTATTAAATAACTTCAGTTTTATTATTTAACAGGTGGCATTTCTTTCGAAAAAGTAAAAATTCATTGCACATCTACAGCCCAAGCCCCTTAATTTGACACCCCATTTTTAAATATCGAACGAACGGTGCAGATCTGATGACCTGAACAAAACTTCCCTTGGCGTATTATATATGTATATAGATACTGTAGTATTTGTAAGGTATGCAGATTTTTTTTCAAATTAGCTAAATATGCGGTATTGGAATATTGAATTAATTCACATTTGAGGAAAGGGCGCTATAGTAGACTTCAGTTATAAAATTATAAATTAAATTTCCATGAGAAAGTCGATACTTTACATATCCTCTAATTATCTTCTAAAATATTTTAACTAACACCCACACTAAAAAAGAAAATATGCTTATAGATCGATTTTTTTAAGCTCTTTAAATATATTTTATAAATGAGGCCATACGAGTTTTGGGGTTACAACACAAAAATACTTTTAAGGCACAGTGAGGCACGTCGGGTATTGCTAGTATATAAGTATCTATATAGATGCCAATAACTATGTATCATTTTTCGCCATAAGTACGATATTGATAGCAAATGTAGCTGTTAGCATAAGCGGTTCCAGAAATAAGCGATATGAGAAGCTCAATTTGTATAGGAGGTGCCATGCCCCCTTTTACATTGTAAAATTTTTCTTAATGTATAAAGTTTGAAAGCTTGATTTATATGGTGTTTGTTAAAGCATGAATCATATTTTTATAAAAATATAACAAAAAAATTTTAGCTTGAAAAACATTGTAAATATTAAAAACAAAGCACCATTCATCCACTTGATTTATTTATATAATTTTATAAAAAAATCCAAACAAATTCCACATTTTCTTTTTAATATTTGTGTGCCTTTACCACTTAAGTGAATAGCCTGGTGATAATAATCAGACACTTATCTTTTCTATCTCTTTTATAATCAGAAAAGATAAAGGAGAAATGCCTGTAATTAGACCAAGGGTATCCGTTGGACAGGTACTCATAGCTCTAGTGATGGCCACGCGGACCAGTCGGTGCTGCTTGCTCAAGGTGGTACCCGCGTTTACTTGCTGAGCTTTTGGCCACAAGCCAGTGAGTGCCGCATATGTAACAATGGACTTTACCACCGTATTGAAAGACAAATGCATAGTTTGGGTGATATTTCCCAATTAGTAGCTCTGATCCAGTACTCCATGAACTTACAGGATTTTACACGAACTTGCAGGAAGTTGCAGCAAAAATGTTCCCGTACTCCAAAATCCTCCAAAATCCTGTAAATGAGAGCGACTTTTGGAGAGTTGTGTAGAGAATGAAGTTGCAAGATTTTACCCGAACTTTTTCTTCTGGTAAAATCATGAAAAGTGTCAAGCAATCACTGGTTGACGTTTTTGCAGGAAAAATGTTTTTTTTTGTTCCCGTACATTTTGTTGCTACTCACTTTTTACTCTCACTTCAGAGAGTAATTTTGCTGTTTGACAGTTTTACAGGATTTTTCACGAAAAGTATTGGATCAGAGCTTTTAACATGTAGTCTCGTGACAGGCATAAAACGGGCCTTGGTAGCAACATTCGAGGGATGTGGGTTCTAATTGAGCCTTTTGTCCGGATTCGTATTGAAACAGACATAATTAATGCTTCCGTGCCACATATCCGTTTCATAATTTCACAAAGTTCCACGTCATTTTTTCAAACATCATCCACGTTCCACAACTTGACTGCTGAACAGCTGTTTCAATTGTTTTGTTTACATGGAGAAAAGTGTGATAATTGCCAATTCAGCCGCTTCGTGTTTGATTGATAACCAAATATTTTGCGGAAAGTAATAAAATATTCGCCTTGCTATGACAATTCTAATTTGCATAAGTGACTTTGCCAAACATCAAGAATTCTTAGAGATTGATAACAACAATAACATAATAACAGTGCCAAGAAAATCACTGTGGAGGCGTGTGAAATCGTTGCGTGCATCTAACCAATCCAATGGTGGTGATTATGCACAGATAGATAACAGTGCACGTACATTGCGACGTTTATCGATAGAAATTGATGGCATCAACGCCTTCTACCTCGTGCGTGAACTACACTTGTTTACCCAATTTCGTATGCAACTTAGCACGAATCCTGCATTACGTGACGCTGATATACTTTGGCTGCAACTCCGACCTCCAAAAAAGGAAGTTATCGACTACAAATGGTAAGTAAGCAAAACACAAATAAATATTTGGATGCAGCAGCAATCCTACGTACATATGATTGATTAAAATCGTTTGCCTTCAACCACAGGAATCGTATTCTGTCCCATACATTATGGGAGCGCATTGAGGTGGAGTATCTAATGTCATGGCTATCTACACTGGGTGGCGGTTACTCTGCACTTGGCGAACAATTTACCAGATGTGTAAGTTTTAAAGCTTACATGTATTGCTTTGATTATTTACGAGTGTACTTCTACCACAGGCGGAGGTTGCTGGTAAAATATCTTTACGACAACTACATATTGGTCTACGAGTAGGTGATCCATTCCTTCAGGCACGATGCAAATTGTATTACAGTATCTCACTGATACAAACCGGTCGTCTAAGACAAGCTAAATATATTATACGTGAACAATATAAATTCGCTAGAAAGCAAAAGGAAGTGGATGGACGCTTGGTAAAAATGTGCCAAGGCATTTGGTTGCGTCTGCAGTACGAGTATGGAATGCGCTTAAAAAGCATAAAGCATTCACCAGTCTCCTACATTAGTTCAGGGGATAAGTGATATTACCATCGAGGGTTTTTGATTTTTGATTTTGGTTATGCCTATGAAAAAGTATTTTACTAACACAATGTAATGCTTGAGTTTTGTAAATGGGTTTAAAGTTCAGTAATTGTATTAAATATTACACCAATTTAAATACATATGTATATATGTGCATCCAGGTTTGGATTATAACTTTTAATAGAAATATGAGGAAAATAATGCAAACTAGAGTTGGGTACTTTAATTCTTTTAAGTGAACCGTTCCGTTGGTTGTATTTCGTCCACCTTAGTAAACTAGTTCCTTAAACAAATTTCAATTATTTTTAATATTATACATTCTACAAACAAAACAAAAACTTAAATATTGCTGTGCAATATCATTAAATCAGAAAGCTTATTTGATTTTAGAAGCATAATATTTGCAAAAAAACTGGTTAGCATGAACTAGTTCTTTCGTTCATTGAGATGACCTAGTTCTTTAGTTAAAATCAAACAAGCTTTCTTATTTAATGTTATTGTACAGAAATATTTAAGTTTTAGTTTTGTATGTAGAATGTGTGATAATAAAAGTAATTGAACTTTGTTTAACATAAAATTCGTCAATTAAATTAAATGAACTAAGGAACTAGTTCACTAAGGTGAACGAACTACAACTAAACGGTTCACTTAAAAGAAGTAAAGTGCCTAACTCTAATGGGGCTACACGATGGTTCGTGCCAAGAATATATGGATTGCGATCCAAAATAAGAAATAGCACGGAAAAATTTTGTTCAATGAAGTGACCGAACAAGTGAACTAGTTCTTTAGCTCATTTAGCCAGAATTCTCATGCACAGGCCTCGTACGAGATAATGGGTTCTTGCTATCTACGATAATTCAAGATTATTCTTTTTTTCTAACAAAAGATTTATACGTACACACATATTCATAAAAGATTAAAACATTTTAGCAGCGATGTTAAGACTGTCCATAATTCACGTGATGCCCTTTTCCAACCTTTTTGACTCTTCGCCCCTTTTGTGATTCGTGGTAATGTATGCTTTTTCTAAAATATTTGCGTGCAGTACTTTTTGTGGCCTTCTATTAAAGGTGGCAGTTCAATCCAATATAAAAAAAGGTTTTTCTAATAGCGGTTGCCCCTCGGCAGACAATGGCAATGGTATTTCTTCAGCTTCTCATAAACATACAATCGCCGTTTGTAGTTGGCGTAATATTACTGTAGGTCCCTCCCCTGTGTGACAATATCAAGGCGCACGCCACAAATCGGAGGAGAAGCTCGGCCAAACACTAACATACATATGTGTAAGCGCCAATCTATTATTATTAATGGTTTCCGACGCTCTATAAAATTGTATGTGGGTTCCATTTCGTACGCGGAAAAAAGTTCGTCTGAGTTTGGAATACTAGGGCACAAAACTTCTCTGAATTCTTAAACGCGTTAATGCTAAGCATCAGTCTCTTAATTATTTCTTAACCACTGGTGATCCAATTCGCGCAACTTTATTAAAAATTGGCGCTTTTTTATGGCTGTGCATATGGGGTATTACTAAATGTCATGACTTAGAAATA